GCCCAAGCTTTGGAACCAGACTTGCCTGGGTTCGCATCCAGCTCTGTCTTCTCATCAGTAAAATGAAGACAATATTAGAACCTTTCTCATAGGCTTGTTGTGAGGGTGAAGTGAGATTGTATAATTCAATGTCCAGCCCAATGGTATATAATTAATATTTATTGAGCACTTACTATGAGGCAAATGAGAGGGGGTAGCACCTTGTAGTGGGGGTGGGGGAAGGTCACACAGGCTTCTTGGACCTCTCATTCCTCCATGCCTGGCAAGAGTTCCCTTTCCAAAGCCTCACCTTCCGAGATAGGCAGGGTGATCTGGCAGGTCAGTGGGTGGTGTGGATTACAAAGACCTGCTTTAGGTAGGGTGCCGGGCAGAGGGTAGCACCCGGACAGGGTGTGGGGAAGGCTTCCCAAGATCTCCCTTTAAAGGGGCTTTTGTGGTTTGTTCCTTCAATCCCCAACTGTAAGGCCTCTCTGAGGCCAGGGGCGTAGATATCTAACTACGTAACTGGTACTAAGACTGGTGAGGGGGTCAGGAACCCCAACCCCACTTCCCTTCTGATCCAGGGCCTGAGCCTGGAGTTTTGGGTGGAGGGACTTTACCAGGTGATGCTTTAGGAATGGACAGGGGAGCAGCTACCCCAGCCTGACTTTCTGGAGGGTGTGAAGTGAAAGCCAGAAAAGTCCCTCACCCAACTACCTGCTGATCTGTCCTGGCTCTACCCAAGTTGAGGAGAACTGAAGGACAGATGAAAGGGCCACATGCCTTTGAGTGCAAGGCGGCCAGACTCCAGGCCACTTCAACTTCGGAATCACTCAGAACCTTCATATTCATTTGGACAGAGCCTGGACTCTGGAGCCAAAGTCCTGAGTTCAAATCCTACCTCCCCTCTTGTAAGCTTAATGACCTAGGGCAAGTCATTTTAGCATTACAGTTCCTTTTGCTGTGGAACAAACTACCCCAGGACTCAGTGACTTTAAACCAAAAGTAATCATTTTATAATTATCCATTGTGATTGCTGGGCCGGGTTGTGTTCAGTGAGGCAGTTCTCACTTGGTGGAAATGGAACGATCTCAAAGACTTCTTACATGCTTACATGTGAGCAGTTGATGCAGGTTGTCAGCTGGAACTGCAGTTGGAACATCTACATGTGACCTTTGTCTATGGCTTGGGCTTCCTCACAATATGGTGGTCAGGTTCTACATGGGAGTTTCCCTGGTGAGAAACATGAAGTGGGGTTGTATGGCCTTTCTTCACGTAGTTTTGTTTTGCGCAGCCAGCTCATACCAGCTCTGGGAAACAGCTCACATGCATCTCTCCTGACAGTTCAGGAATGTGATGCAATGTAGCTTGAAATTGAACACAGCGGAAGTATGTATACACACCACAGAAGTTAGAACTTTAAAAACAAACATTTGGCAGCACATCACTGCTTGGAAGTCACATAAAGCCATTTCCCATGCTGCCACAGATCCCCCAGGGATTCAAGGGGAGGAAACACAGACACCCAGCTCTCAGTGAGAAATCAACACATTCTAAGAGGCGCAGGTGGGGCAGGAGAGCTAATGGTCATCTTGAAAAACACAATCTGAGCTCCTTTCCTCAGCAGGCAGAAGCTGCCCTTAAGGGAAGCGCAGCCCCCTCCCAGGACTGCTAAAGGAGTAAATGAGTTAATATCTGTAAGATGTCACGCAGTGCCAGGCACATGGGAGTCACTTTACAAATTGAGGATTCAGTCATTCAATAGCTCTTCTTCCTTAGGCACCGGGTTTTCCAAAAATTTGTTCCTTGGTTCTTTAAAGTATGTATTTAAACAAGCAATATATGCACAAAGCAAAGTATTCAAACAGCACAAAAGGGGGTGCTGGGTACCCAAGTGCTAACTCACCCCAGTTTCTGGTGTATGTTTTCTGTGCATGTGGAAGCTTCTAAATTGTCCATATGTGTGTATGTGGAGTGCATGCATGTGTGTATGTCTATTTATTTATTTATTTATGCACAAAGAGACAATGCCTGGTAAAAGATCAGCAACCAAAAATCAATTGGGTTTTTATATGTCAGCATTGAGAAATCCAAAATGGAAATTGTTGTTGTTGTTGTTGTTGAGTGCTGTTGAGTCAGTTCCCATTCATAGTGACCCTGTATAGGGTTTCCAAGGAGCAGCTGGTGAGCTTGAACCACCGACCTTGCAGTTCAAACAGTTTTGCAGTCTGGTGCATTAACCCACAGCACCACACCAGGACTAGGGAAACATTTATAAGGGCATCTAAAAAGTAAAATACCTAGGAATGAATCTAACCAGGATGACAAGGATTTCTACAATGAAAACCATAAAAGACTGCTGAAACAAATTAAAGGCGATACAAGCACAATTCTAGATCTAACAGAGGAATTTGGAGTCCTGGTGTGGCACTGTAGGTTAATGCGATAGACTGCAAAAGTCAGTTTGAATCCTAAGGTTGGACAGTGAATAAGGAAGACATTAGAAGAATTGATGCATTTGAGTTACAGTGTTGGAGGAAAATATTAAAAGTACTATGGCTAAACCAATCTGTGTTAGAAGTACAGCCAGCATGCTCCTTGGAAGCCAGAAAGGCCAGAATTTATCTCACATACTTCAGACATATTATCAGGAGGGTCCAATCCCTGGAGAAGGAGATCATGTTTGGTAAAGTGGAGTGTTGGAGAAAAAGAGGAATACCCCCAAAGAGATGGATTGGCACAATGGCAATAGCAGTGGGCTCAAGTGTAGCAATGATTGTGGGGTTGGCGCAGGACTGGACAGTGTTTCATGCTGTTGTGCATAGGGTCGGTGTGAGTCGGTACCAACTCGGTGACACATAACAACAACAGCAATCAAAGTGGTGGAAGACCAAGGAGCCCTGATGGTGTAGTGGGTTACCTGTTGGGCTGCTAACCACAAGTTTAGTGGTTCAAACCCATTAGCTGCTCCAAGAGAGAAAGATGAGGCTGTCTGTTCCCGTGAAGATATTACAGCCTCTGTCCTACATTGTCACTATGAGTGACACGTTCTACTCTGTCCTACAATGTCACAATGAGTTAAAATCAACTCAACAGCAGTGAGTAGGGGAGTTTTTGAGGGGTGGAAGGAAAGATGGAAAGAGGATTTCAACGTGATGGAAAAATCTCATTGATTAAGGACAGGCTTGCATAGCCAGTTATTGGAACTGCTGTCAATAAATTCATTTGGCAAAAGTTGTGTGACAGGTATATTTACAACAATGACCATACAAAAAGAGGAGTATCTGCTGTAACTGCCTCTGCTACAACTAAACACCTCATTGTATTTGGTTCCTAGGTTTGGCGGTTTAAGGTGATGGTTTAATGGGCCAAACCAATTAGTTGGCCTGGCAGTGCGCTGAGCGCTTCTGTCTACCTTCTAGTTCATTGCGTAGAGCCTGAGGTCTTAAAAGCTTACTAGTGACCACCCAAGACACAGCAATTGGGTTCTAATGACCTGGAACAACAGAGAAAGGAGGATCAGGCATAGGAGAAGGAAATAGGATGTGTGGCTTCGTGAAGAGCTGCTTTATCTGCCATGAGACCAGAAGACCTGGATGGTACCAGGCCACCAGGACTAAACATTCTGATCAAAGATTCCACAGAAGAGTCTTGATCAAAAGAAGGAAAATGAAGAAAAGAATTTCAAATTCTCTTAGACTTTCTGTAGCCATGGCGGATGGATGGACCCCTGAAAGGACTGCTTGGAGATGATCCTTAAACCTTAAGCTAGAAGTATCCCACGAATGCATCTTAGAACAATAGTTTATCTTAACTACTTAAAAAAAATAAAAGGGAAGCTGAAAATTGAAGATATTTGAAATCAATGAATCCAATGAACTAATGGAACGTGTGAATCTCAAACACCATGACTCAGAGACCAAAAGAACTAGAAGGTTTCTTGCTCCCACTACCAACTGCTCTGAAGGGATCACATTAGAGGGTCCTGGAAAGACCGGGAGAACATGGGAAACAAACTTCAGAATTGTCAAATTGACCAAGCTCTCTGGTCAGAAAGAGACAGGAGGAAGCCAAGACTGTAGCCTTGGCCACCCTTCAGGTCTGGAATGGGATTCAGCCTCATTTTCAGCTAAGCCATGAACAGACATATAGGAAGGAAGACATGCTAGTATAAAGTGTGCTCACCATGGAATGGTTAACCATTCAAGATGAAAAGGGCAACGTTTACCTAAGAACAAAGTTCAGAGGGGTTGGGAAGGATGATGGAATGGAAACAGGAACCATAGGGAGGAAGTAGCATCATTGTTGTAACATGGTGAGGATTGCAATCATTGATATGACACAAAGTGTATGATTTATTGAGTGTAAAACTAATGATCTGCTCTATAAACCTTTACTCAATTCACAATAAAAAATGTCAAATTAATAATAATAATAATAAAGCCTGCCCAGAGGATTGATTGTGTTCTTTTAAGAATGATCTACATGGAATCAAATAGCCAACAGTAACTTGAAAGATCAGATAGGAACATCAGGGGCCAGTGAGTTAATGTTAATGGGTGAGCATGGTTGCACAGTTTGAGGACAAAATCAATGCGGCTGAATTGCACATGTTCAAACTACTTCATTGGTGAATGCTTTACTGTGTATATATTCTCAACAACAATAACAAAATTTAGAAAGAAAAAAATGCTGCAAAGACCTGAATGTTATTTCTGGGCTTCACAGTCTCCCACAGGTGTGTGTGTGTGTGTGTGTGTGTGTGTGTGTGTGTGTGCGCGCACAGGTGTGTGTGTCAGGGATGGTGGTGATTCTTATCCCTGTCTTGCTGAGACTGAGACTGAAAGGGGAGGTGTTTTGTCTGAAGACACATAGTGGAAAAGTGGCAGAGTTGAGATCTGAATCCAGGTCTCCATCATCTGGGATCTTATCTTGAGATCTTGAAGAGTGAGGAAAGGGATGGACCCTAACCCTACTGTGGGATGCTGCTAACCCTCTGGGTCTCCTTCCTTTCCCCAGAAATGACATCCGAAGAGGTCCTGCATGTGAATACCCCCATCCGGGACAGCATGTCCATGTCCAAGATGGCGGGTACCACTGTCTACCTCAAGATGGACAGTGCCCAACCTTCTGGGTCCTTCAAGATCCGTGGCATCGGGCATCTCTGCAAGATGGTACAGGATGGGTATCCATGTTAGCCAGGCAGAGGACAAGTCCTATCCCCTGACAGGAGGGGCCCACTGCTCCCTGCACTGACTAAGTGTCCCTCATTAAAGCTTCCTCTAATTAAGAGATGTCCATGCAGGGGGGTCTCCTCATGGACTGATCCTGGGGTCATCAGTCACCTGCCTGTCCATCATCCTCTCATAAACCATATTGGAGGGCTAGGGCAGAACAAATCAGGCCAACGTAAGTTGGAATCTTGCAGAAGTCATTCCAGGTGGAAGGGAAGAGTCCAGGTCCAGACCAGGAAGTGGACTGACCCTCTACCAACTTATCTCCACAGTGGGCTGAGAAAGGCTGTGAGCATTTCGTCTGCTCCTCAGGTAAGCGAGCTGCAGGCTGTATGCCTCTGTCTGCCCTGAGCTATGTGTCCTGGGGTCAAGCCCTCCGCCTCTCTGGTCCCTGATTTCCCCTTAGTTCGGAGAGGTTGCAAACATTTGCGGCATTTGCAATTTGGAATCTGAGAGGTAACCAGTGGTCCCCTAGTGCCCCAGACCTTCCTGTGCTGACATGGTCTCCCCCACCCATCCCTGGCAGCGGGCAATGCGGGCATGGCAGCCGCCTACGCTGCCAGGAAGCTGGGCATCCCTGCTACGATTGTCGTGCCCAGCACCACACCTGATGTCACCATCGAGCGGCTCAAAAATGAGGGTGCCATGGTCAAGGTGGTGGGCGAGGTGAGTGTCCAACGGGGGGGGGGGGGGCATACCTGGTGGCAGTAGAGGTGTCCCCTATCCCTCACACCCTCACACCTTTCTCTGTGGTCTTCCAGACGTTGGATGAGGCATTTGAACTGGCCAAGACCCTGGCGAAGAACAGCCCAGGCTGGGTCTACATCCCTCCGTTTGATGACCCCCTTATCTGGTACATGGAGCCTGGGGACACTAAGTATGGGTGGCGGTACCTGCCACAATGCATACTGCCACCCTGTCCTGCACACACGAGCACACACATGCAGTCCATTCTGTGTGCCCACCTTCCTGCAGATAGATATAGATGAATGTCCACTCCCCAGGGCTCACCCAGCATGCCCACATAGACACCCAGATTCGTGGGCATCTGTAGTAGGGGTGGCTCTAGAAACAGACTCCAAGACAAGGATTCCAGGGGAAACAGTCTATTCGGGAGGGATCTTGGTTTTCTAGTGCTGCCATTATAGAAATCTCTCAAATGGGTGGCTTTCAAGAAACAACAGTTTGTCTTCTCACAGTTCTGGAGGCTAAACACCCAAATGAAGGTAGACACCTTCTGCAGGCCTCCCCTTGTTTCCCGTACCTGCTGGGTATCCTCAGATGGTGTCCAGCTTTCCCTCTGTGTGTGTGTCTCTGCGTCGAATCTGCTTTTTACAACTCAGAAGCGATTAGATCTAGAACCCACCTTTCTCAGAGATAATCTGATTAACATAGCAAACAGAATCGCATCCACAGGTGAGGGAAGATACAATTCAACCCAAAATGGGAGGTGATTCCAGGAGTCAGGAGCTGGGAAGAAGAAACTGTTAACATGAGCTGGGGGCACCAGAAGTTTCATCTTTGGGGGAACCTGGAAAGCCACTTCAGAAAACACACCTCAATGATCCCACCCAAGGGAGAGGAATCGGGGGCATTTTATACACATCTCCTGTCATCATTGATGGAGACTGGGATGAGGGGTCGGGGTGGTTAATGTCCTGACACTTGGCAGGTGACACAGGTGTGGGTGGCCCCAGTGGTCAAAGGAAGTTCCCAGCAAAGAGATGAAGATGCTGGGAGTGAGCAGCAGGATGGAGTGGGGATGGGGAAGACTAATCCTGAGACCCATCAGTTGTCTAGAATGAGGGTGAATGGGGACTCAGCTGTCTTGAGAAAGCCCAGCCTGACTGGACTTGTCCCCTCTCCCCACTGCTCCCTGCAGGGAAGGCCACACTTCCATTGTGAAAGAGCTGAAGGAGACACTGAGTGCCAAGCCAGGGGCCATCATCTTATCAGTGGGCGGTGGGGGCCTCTTGTGTGGAGTGGTCCAGGGGCTGCAGGAGGTGGGCTGGAAGGATGTGCCTGTTATTGCCATGGAGACCATTGGTGCCCACAGCTTCCACGCTGCCACGTCTGCCGGCAAGCTGGTCTCGCTGCCCAAGATTACCAGGTGAGTGACTGAGTCCTACAGCTTCAGCGCTGAATGTAAGGTGGTTCCTGGCATCAGCCAGCCCATTTCACTGCTGGTGGCACTGAGGCTTTGAGTACTTGCCTAGAGTCACACGGCCCATGAGTCACCCTGCTGGAGCTCGAATGCAGGTCTGTGTGTCTGCCTCGACTATTATGTCATATCTCCTCACACTATGTTGTTTATTAGAGTTTTACAAACCTCGCTTGTTAATCCGCCAGCTACCTGCTGTGCCTCTAATATGTGTGGCAATGTAGGATAAACACTGGACTGCAAACCACCAAGTCGGCAGTTCAAACACACCAGCTGCACAGAGGGAAAGCTATGAGGATTTCTGCTCCCATTAAGATTTACAGCCTCAGAAAATGTATTTAGGGTTGCTATGAGTCAGAATCGACTTGATGGCAGTGGGTAATTCATATGTGTAAGATGCAGGTTGATCCTGGGGAAAGAGTAAAAGGACCCACCCCTGCTCTTTAGGAAGTTCCTACCAGACTCTCAGACCTTTGATAGATGGGGTAGTTACACAGAAGTCAGAAATAACAGACTTAAACAAGAATGAACTTATTTAAGCCTAGAAATGGGCAGTCCAGGATGTAGCCTTATGGTCCAAAGTGGCTGCGTAAGCACCAACCATCACATTTACATTTCACCTGACCCTTTAAGGACAGATGCAATACCTCTACTTACATCTCATTGGCCAGAACTTGAGTGCATGCCCACACCTAGCTGCAAGGGAGGCTGGGAGTATATTTACCCTAGGCATCCATATGTATAGTTAAAATAGGTATTGGGACAGATAATTGTCTCTACCAACAGCAAAGAGGGCTGAGCCCAGGTAAGACCCGCCTCTGGCTATCTCATGCCTCCAAGATTGTTGTGGGGCCTCTGCTGGCACAGTGCTGGGACTGAATAAAGAAATGAGGGACTACTGTAAACCCCATGCTAGGTTACGGGTTGAGGTGGTCCAGGCCCTGAAGATGCTCATGGGTGAGAGAGGGAGAAGATACAGAACTAGCAGTCACTCCGGGAGGCTGGAAGAGCATGAACACAGTGGTTTAAGAGCAGGTTCTGAGTTAACAAGTTTCTGTCTGTAGCTCCAGCATCACCATTCCTACCCATGTGACTGCATCGTCCTCTGCCTCAGTCTTCCCATCTGTAAAATTGAACCAATAATAGCAACCACATCAAGAATTGTTGCGAGAGTTATGAAATGTTTGGGAAATTCTTGGCCTCTGAGACTTTCTCAAGAAGTTGTCAGTATGCTTATTATGTGTGTGTGGGGAGAGGGCTATGGGGAGGGACCCATCTGAGAATTCCACACAGGATCAGGGACTGAGTACTCCCTTGGAGGGCTCCCTGGAAAAGGTGGTCTTCATCCTGAGGACAGGGCAGGCAGAGTAGTAAGGAAGGGCATTCCAGATGGAGGGGACAACCTGGAGCAAGGACATGGGGTCATATCTGGGTTCTTTTCTGGCATTTACTTCTGAGATGATATTGAACAGAATACTGCTATTTACCCTAATTCAGAGCATTCATGTTTGGGGAGCCCCTGGGGCTTTTCAGTGCCTTACAGGGGCAGTGGGTACCCCTGTCCACTTTCTCCTCCTCCCTCTTAGTAACCATCTTTCCATCTCTTTCTCTTCTCTCTTTGTTCATCATGACCCTGCCACTCCTACCCTCTGCTGTCGCAGTGTTGCCAAGGCTCTGGGAGTGAAGACCGTGGCCCCTCAGGCCCTAAAGCTGTTTAAGGAGCACCCCATCTTCTCTGAAGTTGTATCAGACCAGGAGGCTGTGGCTGCCCTTGAGAAGTTTGTGGGTACGTGTCTGTGACTATCCACCTTGTGTACTAAGGGATTCGATTCACCTCCCATCTTCCTCACAGTTCTGACTCCCCTCGCCTCCCCCACCCCCACCCCAACCTAGAACATCCCCATTAAGGAAAGATAATGCAACACAATGACAAAGCTAGAAAAACCAAAGCCACAAACATCAATGACACCACCAAGACTTCCAGGCTGTCAATGTTGATCCTTAAAGGGCTCAGAGTTAGATTCAGAGAAGGGTCTGCAGGTAGGTGGGAATTTAGACTCTGGGATCAGCCTAAGATGAGACTAAAAAACTGTAGCATATATCTTGTCACTTAATGCTCTTGTGCTCACAGCCAACTTGGCAAATTCATTACAACACTCTAATTCAAAGTATGTCACAGTGCTCAAGCAATGAGCTCCAGTTAGCAGACTCCCCCAGCCCTCTTCCTGTGGTGCTCAGGCCCCAACTCATGCCCCCCTCCCCTGGCAGATGATGAGAAGATCCTGGTGGAGCCCGCCTGTGGGGCAGCCCTGGCCGCAGTCTACAGCCAAGTGGTGCAGAAACTGCAGGGGGAGGGGAAGCTGCGTACCCCCCTGGCCTCTGTCGTGATCATTGTCTGTGGGGGCAGTAACATCAGCCTGGCTCAGCTGCAGGCCCTCAAGGAACAACTGGGCATGAAGAACGGGTTGTCCAAGTGAGGGACCCTCACCCATTTGATCTCCTATCCAGGACACCCCTGGAAGAGCTGGTGTTTTATCCAGTGCCTTACTGTATTCTTGTTTGATGGGTGAGCAGCTACTTTCTGGCTCACAGGAGACCAATCTGGAGGGTGGGGTTCCCTGAAGAGGGGTCATAGAGCAGTGCAGACAGGCTCTTACCATCTTTGGTATCAGTGTGGTTTCTGTGACCATCCTTAACCACCCCTGCTGCTGCCCTCTTAGAGCTGAGGATTGTGGGAAACTCCCACGTAAATAGCTCTTCCCTCGGTTCCCAGGGCAGGGTATGTGGGGAACGACTCAGATCACGGCTGGCAGATCCCACTCCAGGCTTCTCCTTGGGAAATGTATGGGGCAGCATCGAGGGTCAGAGAACCATATTGTCTTTCTGCTTCAGCCCAACTTTACCTTTACTCAGTTTTCTAACATGCAAACTTTTTCACTGACAAAAACAAGACATATTTGTGAAACGTGGCTCCTTTGAGTTTTTCCATCAGTCATCTTGCCTTCTCTTCTCTTTCCAACCACCACCCACAACAGTGGCTTTCAGTCACACACTTGAACCCCATGGAGGTCATGGTAAACTCTGAGACAGGCCACTCCATGGGGTTTGGGTGTGGAAGGGGTGCCCTTGCATCACGGGAAGCAGGCTAAGGAGCTGTAGCTGAACAAGAGGGCCTTGGGGAGAGACAAACGCTGCTCCATGGATGGCAGCTCCTACTGGGGAGGCTGACCATCACAGGACCACACAAGTGGCAAACCGAGTAGTGAGCTTCCCATCCCTGGGGGGGTGTAAGCAGACATGGCACCCACCTCTGGGAGAGGGGAGAGCTGCACTTGAACTCAGAGTCTGCAAACATGCTCTTCGCATGAAAGCAAATGCTGAAGCCTGGTATATAAAACAGGTAAGAGTTTTGGGGGTGTGGTCAAGCACCCCACACCTACTCAGGTAGCAGCTCCAGCATACTTTTTTATCTGCATAGCAACATTTGAAAACCACGCCAACCCCCCTCAAATACACACCAGGTGCTGCTGACTCCGATTTCGGCCGCTCTCCTATGCTTCAGAGTAGAACTGTGCTCCATAAGGTTTTCAATGGCTGATTTTCCAGAAGCAGAATTGCCAGGTCTTTCTGCTGAGATGCCTCGGGGTAAACTCGAACCACCAACCTTCCAGTTCGCAGCCAAGTGCATTATCCATTTGTACCACCCAGGGGCTCCCAGATCTACAGGCTTGCAGAGTTCAGCCTCAACCTGAAATAGGGTTTCAGGGAGAGTGTGGAAAATCATCCCAATATACACCAGCGACAAGCCTACCTACCAATTTTGTCAAGGACAATGCATATGGCATGTGGCATTTGGAAAACTGGGGCAGGGCTTCTAGGAAGGATTGGAAGGGCCAGGGAGATCGAATGAGCCCCTCAGCTCCAGAATTCTCCTGGTAGGCGAGTGGGAGACTTTTAAACAGCACTCTATTCAAGAAAACAGGATTGCTTTGGGTTTGGAAGCCCCCAGATGCAGACACGTCTGCCCCCTTGAGGAGGGGTTGAGGCACTGCAGGCTGGACCTGGGGCGGAGCGTGGAGCCTGCGTGGTTGCTTCCATAAAGTTGGGCCTGCCTTTCCCGAGCTAGCTGAATTGGTGATGGTGGGAGGTATCCAAGACATTCCCATACTCTGTTCAGAGTCAGTCTGGCTTCCTGTTGCTCCCAGGTCCCAGTAAGCAGAGAGGGGCCATTCCTTCTTGGGAGTAGCTGATCCTTCCGAGTGACCCTGGACACTCGGCAGCCACAACCCTGAGTCCCTACTTCTTTACATGTCAAATGGCCTCACAGTGGCCCCAATCCCAGGGATGGTTGTGAAGGTGCCATGGCTAGCACACAGTAGGTGCACAGTGCATGGTGACCAACGTTCCGCCAGATGTACTGGGAAGGGTAATTACTGGGGCCTAGGAGAATCCAGTCACTTCCTTCCACCTAGCCTGCTACTAATCCTTAAAAAACCATGAAAACCACGTGGTTGTGAACATCAGAAACAGACTCAGTACACACATATTTTGGGGGACCTAGGAGTTCTGGTGTGGCGCTGTGGGTTAATGCGCTGTATAGCATAGTCAGAACTGCAAAGTTGGTGTTTCAAGCTCACCAGTGGTTCCTTGGAAACCCTATACAGGGTCGCTATGGATTGGAACTGACTCGAATGCACTTAACAACAACAAGAAACTAAACGTTGGTTTTCTGAAAACCACAAGTTATCCATCCCCGAGACCAGGGCTTGTACAGTTACAGTGAAGAGAAGGACCGAGGCCAGGCCCAAGCTGGGTTTATTTTCTCCAGAGCATATACCGGCATCTGACACACTGGTGCTTTATTTTGTTTACTGTCTCCCCCACATGAATGTCAGCTTCACAAGGGCCAGGTCTTTTGGTTCAGGGCAGGAACCCTAGTGGATTGTACCCATACCCAGTATGACCAAAGTAGCAAGTAAATATGTGCTAATGAATGCAGTGTGGGCATGAGTCCCACCCAGGAAGTAGGGTTCCATCACTATGCCATTTTATATATGAGATGAGCGAGGCTCAGAAAGGCTGAGTCCCATAACTCCTGAGAGACAGAGAGAAAGTCAGAGCCCAAGTCTCTGAGCAAAGGGCACGTATGCTATCGTCTCCCAAGTATGTGGCACTGGTACCTCTTGTGTGTAGTGTAAGCTCCATGTGGGCGTGGGTGGAAAGACCCCATGGTGTGTTGGTCTGGATATAGATAGGTCTTGGTGTAAAATGGGCCCTGGTCCAGAACCTGAAACATAACAGGTGCTGACTAACATCTGGATGAATGGGCAGACAGGTGAAGTGGGGGGAGGGATGGACACCCTGTGGGCAGTTCGTTAAACACTTAGACAGATGGACAGACAGACGGATAGAACAAGAATGTATGGGAGGATGGTACACGACACATCTTGAAGAGAAAGGGTATCGTCCCAAGCACAGCCACGGGCCACAGTCAATCCTTTAACTACGGAGTCTGCAGTTTGGCTCCAACAGCAGGGGAGCTGTGGCCACTGCCCAGGACATGCCTGCTGTCCCCAGGAGGGAGGAGGACACTCCTTTCTAACCACACCAGAAACTTTGGTTTTTGTTTTCAAGTTTTTCCTTGAGGAAGCTGCCCAGAAGGAGAGAGTGAGCTATGTCCCCAAGAAGCAGACGGGAGAGGCAGGGCCCCCCAAGAGGATGCCCATGTCTGGGGTTGCAACCACCCTGCCCCTGGCAGCCAGGGTGCGAAACCCCAAAGGCTTAGGGCCTTCACGGGGGACCTGAGTCTTGTCCTGGGACCCTCCCAGTCCCTGAGGACGGGGCCTCAGAGAAGAGAGAGTGACAGACACACAGGGAGAGGGACCTAGGAGACACAGGCACACAGAGGCCAGAGAGAGGCACTCACCCAGCTCCGCTGAGAAGGGAGGAGTGTCAGTCCTGGGTCCCCTGGGGTGCGCCCATCCTGGGGGAGACAGTGAACCTGGCAGACCAAGTTCAGGGCGCAGCAAGTAGCAAGACTCCAGAAGGGGGTGGAGCAGGAGGGCTGGCAGCTCTGCCGGGCCCCACGGCGGTTGGGCAGCTGAGCGGCAGCTGGACCTCAGTCCCACCAGACTTCGATGGGCAAGAACTTCCAGAGGTCAGGCTGGCCCATGTGCAGCAGGCTATTGAACGGTGAGGTGCTCCACTGGAACGCGGGCACCTGGTCCCACGTGGGGCCACTGATGGCCTGCAGGCGCAGGGCCTTGGACAGTTTTAAGTTGGTCACCTGGGGGCCAGGGCGGAGGAGGGAGCTCAGTACCTGCACAGGCCAGGGGGATGCTCTGGCCCTGATCCCGAGTCCATTTCTGGTCCTGACCCCCACCCCACCCTAACCTGGGCCCATCTCAGAGCCTAATTCTGACCTTGACCCTCACTTTAAAGCTGACTCCAAACTTGACTTCACCTTCACCCTAACCTCTATCCTAAGCCCAACTCTGACCCCGACCCCAGCCTTCAATACCATCTCTCCCCAAGGTTGGTAACAATCACCCCTCAGGCCCCAGGGGCCAGGGGAGCTCGAACCTTCATGTCGATGCCTCCGTGGGAGCGTTGGTGCAGGGCCTGGAAGGGGTAGGAGCCGTTGGCAGGGTTGAGGTCAGAGCGGGCTGAGATGGCATTCTCCGCATTGGGGTGGGGACTGCAGGCTATACACCAGGACAGGGGGTCATGAAGGAAGTTATTGTACCTGCAGAGGCAAACCAGGTATGCTCAGGTGATCCCGTCACCAAGCCACCCTTCCACCTTAGAGAGGACCTCGGCTTTATCCCTGGAGAGCATTTCAGACTCAGTCAGCTCTGGGTACCCTTCTACAATGTAGAAGCCCTCAGCTGATTTCTGCAGCTCATGGGTCAACTGAGGAGCAGGCACAAAACCTGCATCTCCTAGTCGTAAACTCAGCACCCAACTCCCAGCACACATATGTCAGCAGGCTCACCTGACAGCTGCCCTAGCGGTGAATCACCCACAGAACCCCTGAGGGACAGAAAGCCCCACAAACTCCATCTCCCAGGCTCCACACCCCCTCCACCACCAGCCTTGCCCACCTCATGAGCCGGATCATGGAATCCATGTCGTGCACTCCGGACTGGTTGCGGTGGAAGATCTGGGCCCGTGGGCTACCTTCATAGGAGAACCAGTCTCCATATCGGGTCACCAGGGCTGGCAGCCCACTGGCATTGAAGACTGTCTCAAAGGACCTGCCAGGGCACAAAGCTGTCACTCAGTAACCCCAGCCAAACCCCACCATGGTCTAGGGGTAGAGGTGTCATCCAGCTCCAACATTCTTATTGATGGGATCAGTTCTGACACGTAGCTAACTTGTATAGGGTTTCCAAGGCTGTAAGTCTTTGCAGGAGTAGAAAGCATCATCTTTCTCCCATGGAGCAGCTGGTGGGCTCGAACCTCCAACCCTGTGATTTGCAGTTCAGTGCTTATCCTAGAGCCACCATGCTCCTTCATGGGATATTATTAGTAACAATAATATGCCTTTTGTTTATGCTGTGGGGAGGAGAGAGCAGGGAAGTGGGGATGGTCAAGCTTGGGTTCTGGGATCCAACACACATGGTTCAAAAGCTAGTCTCACGGTTCACCACTTATGGAGCCTTGGGAAAGTTAGGCAATCTCTCAGGGCCTCAGTTTCATCATCTGTGAAATGGGGCAGTAATAGTAGCTACAGTGGATGACAGTTGTATGAGTAAGGATCAAATGAGATGAAAACAACAAGAAACCCAGAGGTAGGGGGTGCTCACAGTTAACCGGATCCTGTTAGAGAACTAGAACAGAGCCAGCAGCTGGGCCGGGCCCACCCCACCACCTCCTCAGGGTTCCAGAACAGGGAGGTCACCGATACTACCCTACACTCCAGAATGAGCAAGTCTTTCCTGACCAGAGAGGGGTTTAGAGCTGAGAAAGGAGAAGGCAGGTATGGGGGTGGGGGTGGGGGGGGTGGGCACATACGGCAGGTTGTAGCTGGCCCAGTAGGTCTTCTGGTAGAGTTCCTCGGTCTTGTCAGCCACCACCACCATGCCTCTGAGACGGAGAAGTGAGATGGTGTCAGGTGGTCACAGAAAGGGCCCTGTGGGCACTGTCCTGCTCAAGGACACCGATGGCTCCCCCTTGCCTGCGGATGGCTTATGTCATGACCCTTCAGCCCTGCATTCATGATCCTGCCCAATTAGGGGTTGCCTCCTCTTCCAGCCTCACCTTCCTGGGCTGTTCTAGCACCTTCACCTGGGGTACCTCATCCCCTCTTTCTCAGGTACTCACGGGATCTGCTCGAGGATGGTGAGCACCTTGCTCCCAGGACTGGGCTCACCGGGGACAAACACCTTGTAGTCCACCACCATCCACTGGTTGTTGTACCTGCCATGCCCAAGGAGAGAAGGCCTGGAGAGAAGCTGGGGCCTCTGCCTCAGTCTCCCCAGCCCCAGTGTTCCACACACCACCAGGAATCATGGGGTAGAGGGTTGGCCTGGGGTATTTGGTCATCAGATTGTCATCCTGATACTGCAGCTAGACTAGGCTTCCAGAAACTCTGCTTCTGTCATGCTGCTCACCTGCTCCAGAATAGTCTATGGCTCCCTAGTGCTAGTCAGAACAAAGGTCAATTCTCTGTCTGCTACTCTAACACCTACACTAAAAAGTCCCAATCTCTCTGGTCCACAGGATCCCCACCCATGTCCACCTCTTCAGATGGCTCTCTTCACTGAGCCCCCAGAGCCCTCCAGTTCCAAGTTCCCCTCAGTCTCCCCTCCAGCAGGCCTCGCCCTGGTCTCAAATGCCTCGAGAGGAGGGATTAGCCTTTCCTCCCTGAGCCTCAGTTTCCTCAGGTATAAAACAGGGGTGGGGGCAGGGGAACTCTAAGGTATCTTCCAACTCCAACGAGAATCTGAGAGAGGATGTGGGGGTGTGGCCCTGGCATCAGTTCCCCCGGTGTGAGCGGTCAAACAGAGTCAGAACAGATAACAAAGAAATAGCAGTAACCAGTAAGAAAACGAGGACACAGAGATTAAATAAATCACCCAAGACTACACAGGTTCTTAGAGTCCTGGTGTGGCGCTGTGGCTTAATGCGTTGGACTGCAAAGTTGGTTTGAATTGCAAGGTCAGTGGTTCAAGCTCACCAGCCACTCCTTGGAAACCCTATACAGGATCAATGGGTCGGAACCCACTTAACAACAACACACAGGTTCTTAGTAGTACATGTTGTATTTAAACTTTGGCTAGGCAGTTTGACCCCTGAGTCTGTGCTTTGAACCTATACTTAAGCTTCCACTCAGGAAGAATATGAGTATATATAATTTCCTACTTTTTCCTGCAAAACATGGAATAGCATATATGAGGCTCTGATCTTGCTTTGTGACCCTAATACACCTTACAGCGCCTTCCCTATAAGGACACACAGACCTCCCCAATCTTTTTCATAGCAATATACTACTCCGTGGACTCCTGGAGTGGTGCTGTAGGATCAGCACTGGACTGCAATCCACAAGGTTGGTAGTTCAAACCCACCAGCTGCTCCTTAGAAACCATATCCAGGGTCGCTATGAGTCGGAACCGACTCCACGACACAGCAATCATACTACTCCATTCCAACAACAGACTGTGCGAGGCTTAACCTAGCGCCAACCTAAGGGCCTTGGGGTTTTCCTAGTCTTCTGCCGTTTCAAACGGTGCTGCAGAGAACATGTTATTACTCACTTGTGTTAAGAATACCTAAAGGATACATCCCCAAATTTATAATATTGATTCATTTGGAAGTTTATGTGTTTCTTAAGGATCCCTGGTGGTGCAGTGGGTAACTGCTTGGCTGCAAACTGAAAAATCAGAGGTTCAAACCTACCAGCCGCTCCTTGAGAGAAAGCTGTCAAGTAAAGATGACAACAGTCTTGCTTGTAATGGGGCTGTTTTCCAATTCCTATAGGGTCGCTGAATTGGAATCAACGTGACAGCAGTAAGTTTGGTTTGGGGGCTTCGAATCCATTTTTATTTGGAGGGAGGGAGGTCCTAGGACCAAGAGCCCACTCACGTGCCACTGTTGAACTTCTTGAAGATGTCAGCCCACATGGCTCCATCCAAAGCCAAACGGTTGGCCACGATGTTACGCACCCACTCCAGAACACTGCCTTCTGGCTGCACATACTTCCACAGCGCCGGGTTGTTGTTGCCAATGGTGGTCTCCAGCGTCACCTGAGGAAGAGCCAGAGGGACACTACAATGAGGGGCAGGCTGCCACCAGGGACGTGGCTAACACATTGTTTAAGAGCTTTTTAAAAACGTATGTCCCAACAACCAAGGCAATTTTTTTGAGCTTAGCTTTCTACAGCATGCATTCAGAATATGGAGCTGGGGGGGATTCCACATCTAAAATCACCCGATATTGTCATTAGGTGCTATGAGTTCAGACTCATAGCAACACTATGCACAACAGAACAATACACTGCTCTGTCCTGCGCTATGCTCAAAGTAATTATTATACCTGAGCCCACTGCTGCTGCCACTGTGCAATCCATCTCATTGAGGGTCTTCCTCTTTCCCACTCATGCTCCAATTTACCAAGCATGATGCCCTTCTCCAGTGACTGGTCCCTCCTGACAATATGTCTGAAGTATGAGAGACAAAATCTGGCCATCCTGGCTTCCAAGAAGCATTCTGACTATACTTCTTCCAACACAGA